TATAAACATTTCTTTCTTATCAATAACAAACATGTTAAGACCCCAGTACTTATAATAAACAAATAATCAAATTGTTTTTTTCCTAAGGAAAGTGAAAAAAATCAAACGTAGTAACTCCAGAAATGACGTCATCATTTCTTCCCCCCTACTATGGACTGCGTATATAAGCCTGCGACGAGCTTAGTCAGCTGTCAGTCGTCCATCTCGGATTCCTCAAGACGAATATTCATCATGAAGGTTGTGGTAAGATCTCGCTGTGACTTTAAAGTTATGAGTCCTTCAATTTGTATTTTCAATAAGAATAGGACACTAAGCCATAGAACATTCATGGTGCGGCCTCCATGGGAAAATATGTTTCATACATTTGATGCAATGTTTAACATCGTAACAGCTGGTTCTCGCTCTGGCGGCCTGTGCTGCTGCCATGCCCTCTCCTCACCCCGGCTTCGTCTACTCCTACGGCCATCCATACGTCCACTCCTCCTACCCCGTCGTCAACTCTGCCAAGGCACATACCCCTGCCAGCACCGTGCCCCTCGTCTACCCCTACGGTCAGTCTCATACTGAAAACATTTTCTCTTTCAAATGTATCTCTACATTTTGACAAAATTGTTCTATTGAAAGCGATATCATAATGCCATCAAATATTCGTAATTCAGAATTCTTTATTATACATATCGTGCAAAATATTCCTCCTCCAACAGGTCAAAATCTCCCCCAAACCTACACCTACCCCCACACCTTCCCCAACACCTTCCCCAACACCTTCCCCTACAGCTTCCCTTACACTTACCCGTTCATGGTCAAGGCCGACGAGGCCGTCGAGGAGGAACCTATGGCTGAGGAGGAAGCTGCAGGCATGGAAGAGCTTATGGGTGAGGAGGAGCTAATACATCTTTCAAATGTATCTTTACATTTTGACAAAATTTAGAATATTCCTTATGCTGTTCAAAGTGATATGAAAATGCCATCAAATATTCGTAATTCAGAATTCTTTATTATACATATCGTGCTAAATATTCCTCCAACAGGTCACAATCTCCCCCAAACCTACACCTACCCCCACACTTTCCCCTACACCTTCCCCAACACCTTCCCCAACACCTTCCCCTACAGCTTCCCTACACTTACGGCCTTCATG